CGCCATGGACGGCGCATACCGGGTTCTGGAAACGTTCACGGTCTTTGGGCTCCATAATCCCGGCCATAAAAAATGAACGCTGTATATCTGGGTTTAAGATAGGGGATGCCCTCACAAAAAACAGCGCCGGTCACGGACTGATCATTATGTTCAGTGTACCCAATGCTCATGCATGCCAGCATGAATAGTGTTGGTTTGGTTTCCATTTTGCCATCGACGGTTGCCATTGTAACACATCATCATAATAACATGATGCGTGCACGTTTGGGCGCCAATTACAGATGTAGGATTGGAAGAAAGCAGCCGTGCAAATAAACCCCAACCAAAGATGAAGTTTTTAAGGAATTGCTCCACAAGTCCGATGTCAGCTAAAGAGCTTTTCGGGGCATATGCCACCGTTTGTCAGAGCGCCAATGGTAGCGGGGAAAATGATAGGGATGCAAAAATGAAAGGTCTCTGCTGGACTGTTCATCTGTTTTCTACTGGAACTACACAGCATGAAAATCGTTGGCTGTGGGGACACCATTCTCACTTCACCAAATAACACCGATGTGTACCAGAACTCCACGACCCGACTTCGGGACCGGTTGTTGCTAAAATACGTTCATACAGTGTCCGCTGAAACAAATATCTGTAGTACCAATAGAGCGCCACCCTCAGCCCACCCGCCCTTTATTTGCTGTACGCTTCCGACGTGTTACCAATGACGCAATCTCTCCACGTGCACATACGGATTTTGCTCCCCCCGTCCGTTTGTGCGCGCGTCCGTTTGACCACACAGGAACATGCTATTCATCTATTCGTTCCCTTTGCCATGCATTTCTCTTCTGCGGTGCTTCTTGGAAATCAGTGGGCCGTTTTTGACAAGCTCCTTGTAAAGCTGAAGGGTTCTGTGCCTCACGGCAATCAGATATCATTCAGCTGATTATCACTGGTACAGTCTGGTTCTTGGCATCGATTGTCAGCTGTCCATCAAGACGTCAAATAGGTGGACCCGTTCACTTTGGTGTATTATGACTTCGCAGATCAATGTAAACGTGATTAGTGTTTGCGGTTAAGGCGTCCCTTGAAATGGTCTCTAATACAAATAAATGCTTCCAAAACAGCCTGGGAATTTGGTTTGAATCTGGGGTCATGCTTTAAATGTATGCATATGTGGAGAAAGTTTACAGTTCGAAGTTTACGTCACATGTATTGTATGTGTTGTTCATCAGAGGACCTGGACCACTTGCTGCAATGCTAATCGGGGATTGGCTCAGTGCGAGTGATCTATCGATCGCAAGCAATGAGGCGGGGAAAATCCTATTCTGCTAATCACAAAGCCACAGCCAGCTGACCAGCCCACACATGACCTCATCACTCACGTATGCGGTAAACCTCCCCACATAACCAGCTGACCAGCCCACATATGACCTCATCACTCACGTCCATGGTAAACCTCCCCACATAACCAGCTGACCAGCCCACATATGACCACATCACTCACGTCCATGGTAAACCTCCCCACATAACCAGCTGACCAGCCCACATATGACCTCATCACTCACGTATGCGGTAAACCTCCCCACATAACCAGCTGACCAGCCCACATATAACCTCATCACTCACGTCTGTGGTAAACCTACTCACATAACCTAGCTGACCAGTCGACATATGGCCACATCCTTCACGCGTCTATCGTGCTGCACACATTCATCAGGCTGGCTGCAGCTCGCCGCCTCCGACCGGTGAGTCATCCGGGCCGCGTCATCAGCGTGATGGCGGCCGCGATGACGCGGTGCCGCACCGGCACGGCCCGCCGCTCGGGATCAGGCGATGCCGTTCACAGACAGACTCAGCGGCGGCGGCCATTTGTAACAGGGCGATACTGCGGTCTGGACGGACCGCACACCCCGAGAGGTCCGCTGGGACCGTGTTCAGCTGCGTGCTTGGGGCGTCAGATGAGCGGACCACACACTGAGACCGGAGGACAGGACCGGTCCGACAGCAGTCATCGCTCACTGACCTGTCGGAAGCAAAACAGGCGGCTAGGTGCGAAAACACAGGCAGGGAGTGGTCTCTGATGTATACTGGAGCGTCATCTTTGTGAACATCTCGGACCGAACTGATTTTCGACATAACGTGTGAAATAAATGAAGTGGTCGTTAGGTTTCCATTTGAGGCATCTATAGCGCGTTCATAGAAGTTATGTTAACGCTAACTGACAGTGAGAGCATCCTTGCGGTTTCACCAGACCTTGTGCAGTCCCAGCGCTGCACAAGTAGTGCCCTCTCCTGTTACGCCATCCGTTTACCGTGGCGGCATTAGACGGTCACCGGCTCTCCATTGACCGCGGCGGGGAGCAACTGCCGGCGATGGTATCTGTGAGCCTCGGGCCGGCCACAGCTCTGCACACCACCCATTGACGTCGCTGGTGACCCGGGGACGGCCGGTCGGTGTCATCAGATCTCGATCCGCCGTCGGACGGGCCGTTAAGGCCATACGAGGCTCGAGCATCTGCGGCCGGGGGTGCGTCTGCGCCCCATCCACCACCAGATCGCAGCATCACCAGGCCGACCGGCCGACCCGCTTCGCGGTCAGCAAGACGCGTGCGGGGCGCTTGCACGGCATGCAAGGCCGTGTCCTCCCACCGGCCACGTGCCGCTGATGCCGAATTACGGGCCCGGTTATTATTGATGCGCGTTGGAGGAGGTCACTTTGCTTTGCTCGCGTTGCCTGCCACTTTCGGTGGTTAGCGGGACGAATGATCCGGGTTAAGGCGCCTCTCTGGCCTCGTGTGGCACGTTAATGGCACACAGACGGTGCGCGCTTCAGCCTGAATGCAATCACCGCCAGCGATCTCTATAATGCGCATAAGCTCCCGCGGCCTATTCGCCAGCCAGCATTGTGCAACGCCCCTCGGACTCCACCCTGCTGCTGTGGATGACGTATTTACTGGCTGCACTGTCCCCGGCAGGCCAACAGTTCAGGCGTGCAGCCGTAAATAACATGGCTGAGAGCTGAGACCCAATGACCATACCAGACCTCTGCTGCTGTAAAGACTGGGGAAAACCACGCTGCTTATTGGAAGCGGGTTGTGTGGTCAGCGGGGCTGACATGTTTAGTTGTGTACTACCGCCGTAAAATACCTCATACGCGACCGCAGTTGCGAAAACACTAAAACCTTACATGCAATGAATAAACATGCGTTAGTTCTAAGACCAGACGCTGTGAGGCACGGATCGCAGCCACACGCACGCACGGAGCTCAGACACCAAGGCGCCAGAGACCAGGCAGTGCGTGTCAGGACTTTTAGCAATACTGATCATCAATGCTTGTGATGATGTAGTCTGCCAGCGAAGCAATGAACCAGGGACACACATTTAAAGACGTGATGCAATGTGGATAAGCTAAATGTGGATGGGAATGTTAGAAACATTTTTGATGGAATGTCAGCAGATAAGACTGGATAAAGCAATCGAGTGGCACCTTATCATGTGAACATATCATGTGAACATATCTGAGTCACGCAATCTGCAACCTGTGCTAAGGAATATCCTATTTGGTTCGTAAGGCAGATAGATAGTTCAATATCTATTATTTTCACTCTTTTTGGCATGCGTAGATGAGCACTTCTCCGTAGTTCCCCTTCTGCCCCGTCGTTCCTTCAACCCCTAATATCTGCCTCTGTTCTTCCCTGACATCTCCACCTTCTCTCCCTGGGAGACAGCCGTGCACCGTCCCCCCGGTCCTACTCTTCTTCAGTGCCACATGCTCTGGGTCGGTGAGCGACTCTGCCGCCTGGCAGACCAATTAGTGGTGACTAACGGGCCGATCTGCGCCCCCGCCGCGGGGTGTAGGGTGGTCCGGGCCGGACTCCACCCCGTCTCGGCATCCGATACCATCTCCGACGGCCGGCGGGCCGTCGGAGATGGTAACTCGGCCCCGGCGCGAGGAACAACGATCAGGACGGACGGCCGGGTATGCTCAGGGTGGCAGGACGGGAGAAGTGGGGACGGTGTACCGCTGAAGACCAGTAACGGGGTGTTTGGTGCTCAAAGCGGCAGGACGGGAGGAGCGGATGGTGGTGTACCGCTAAGGACCAGTGACGGGGTATTTGATGTCAGTTGGTGTGAACACATGTAAGGAAGAGTAAGGAAATCGCGTAATAATGAGCTCGTAAAAATGGTTGTAGCAATTAACGCAGCAATTCTTACGCATCCACGCAATGCTTGTTCTGCAGCCCTCACCTATTGATGCGTTGTGATGTACTCAAGCATTCATGTAGACATGCATGTCTTCCAGCATGCTTGCTCACATAATCATTCATTTTGGTTTCAAGGCAGTGTGGATAACTTGTCTTTTTGTTGACAAGCATGACCCGCTTTAGCGTGGGTTGGCGGATGGCTGTATTTAGCCATAAATCTTGCCGCACTCAGCAAAAACAAGAAGATTGCACTCTTTTTTATGAACCTATTTCGGGTGAGGTCCAACTTAACGCTCTAATTAAAACAGATGTGCACATGGCATGTATACAGCTTCATGCAGAATTCAGAATATGCAATTACCTTCAGAGACCTTCATATGCACGCAAATCGCCCACCCAGCCTCAGCATTTGCTCACATATTCAGAGATAAACACACAAGCTTTGCTGAATAAAGCAACATATTTCGCAGCATATTTAATGGATAGATCTGCGTATATCCATGCAAGTGCGACACACATGGTGCACATGTATGCTCTGCAAATGCTATTTTAGTATTCGTTATGTGTTGTATGCTTTATGTTTTATGTTGTATGTTTTAGTATACGTTATATGTTGCATATCAGACTATATGTATTTATAAATATATATAGGCTTAGATACACACATTCGTGTACTTCGGTAGAAAGTTTTCGTTTCAATACAATGTTTGTTAAATGCAAATTAAAGGCCCACCTCATCAGTTTTCTGCCTGCTTGTTCACTCGTTGGAATAAAATCTTTTCGATGTTTTTGGCCGATCACACATCAATGCGGTATTTCGTTTATATTTGTCTCACCTGACAGACGTTTTTAGCGCATACATTTCCAATTAAAAGTGGAAAAATTCAGTCGCGCAAACAACGAACGAACGGCTTAACTTCATAAACATGGCCCTGAGATATAATACAAGACATACAATCAGGTAAAAAATTATGCATACGAACTCGGGTCTTTGTTGAAATGTCATTTTTTTGATCAGCCTGAAACAAAAAGAGCAAAAAATTAGGCAAAAATTAATTGTTTTGTGTCGGTCCCTACTTAATGCGTAATTCTACACCCTGTTAGTGCCATGAAACAAGAATCTAACATGTTATGCTCCTGAAAGCAGACCCCAAACTGTTTAAGGACATGAGCGATAATTATGTACAAAGCGAAAGACAGCTGAAGCTCACTCACCAACAATTGTTCTGCCTAATTTAGTCAAGCAGGTATTCCTGATGTGGCGCGATTTTTCAACACCCTTTGATGTGGGGAGCCAGCTTGCATGGCAGCGATCCAGGAAATGTATCTAAAAAAACACATTGCACTTAACAAAAGGTGCAGCAGTCACAGGACTGATATTCTGTACACATCAGACAAACAGCTACATAGGTATAACAAAACTGATTACGACCGGTTGATAAGAGTGCAGTTTGTTTGATTTTAGATCTGCGTTCTGAAATCAAGCTAATGCTTTTTGACATGCATTTGGGCCTACACATGTGACTGTCAACAGGCACAACAGTGATGTAAAGCTCAGATGATGTATAATAGTAAAGTAAAGCAGCAGCGAAGTGCGTTGTCTGTATTAACATTAGATGACAACTGGCCCGGGATGAGGACACACATCTGATCATCCCCGTCCCGAGAGGTAAGGAAGGCACCCCGGAGAGGCAACAGGGGGAGGGGGGGGGGAGACGCTCCCCACTTTACCAGTCGGGACACCACAGTAAAGATATAAGGACCATGGAAACAAACGCAAGTGTGGGAATGAGAACGAGATCGCAACCACGAGAGTTATGCCACGTTAGAAGGAGAACGCGAACCTTGACAAAATGAATGGTTGCAACGTACGAGAGCAGGAGCGGACGATAATGGGAAAGTAGGAAATAGTCATACTGTCATAGTCATGCTGATCATTATCATACAGAGCATGGGGTACTCATGACGTCACATCTGATACAGAGTGGTGCACTATCCCCCCGGCCCGTACCTGTGGGGTCGACGCAGGCTCTGAGGGTGCAAGCCCAGGCGCCACCCAAGCAGGAGCACTGGTTACAACCGTCGGTCTTCCTCTCACCGTCCAGACAAACACCGGGAATTACTGAGAAAAACCATCAGCAAATGTATGTGGGATAAAACCAACCAACCGCTCTATCTTACGTGAAGTGCAAAGCTGGTGTGTAAGCAATTTCTTGTATTTGCACTAGACTAAAAGACTAAACAAGGTGCACTAGACAGCCAGCGAAGGCCTTTACAGGCATAGGTTCTATGCTGTTGTGCGTGCCAATCTCACCGCGCCGGTGCCGCCCCCCCCCCCCCCCCCCCCCCCTCCCTCCGGACGGCGTCAGTCTGTTGCACGGCTTCAGTAAGCTTAATGGACAGCGTTACATTCATTAGTACGTCAGAATGGGAGCGGATGGCCTATCGAAGTCATTGGGTTATGATACAAGATCCTTAAAACTACCTGGAACAGCATCAGAAGCACATCATGTTCTGTTGTGTAATCACGGACACTGAATTACAACCTTCAACGGCAAGCTTAGCTTCACTTCAGCCAGAATAGGGCCGGACTAAGCGTGGCTTAGTTTCAGGCCCTCACACCAGATATACGTACCACCCCTTGTTGAAGCGGCTTGACACACCACCACAGCCAGAGCCAACACGATGAGCACACGAGCCCCCATACTGGGTCCGGTCGACGTAGCACTGACACGTTCCGACCGAGCTGGACGACGTACTGGCCCGATCTGGCAGCTCGAAAGGTCACCAGGTGTCAGTGGACGTGCACACGGCGGGCCGCCGTCCGTCAGCCCGAGGTCACGGTGCTGTCCTGGCCGGCCGGTGTCCGTCACAGCGGCCGGTGCCAGCAGCTCACTGTCAGACAGTGGGCCCCGCCACCCCGGCCGGCCGTGTCGCGTCACCCGGCGGTGAAAGCTCGCGTGACGGTCCGACACAGGCAGCTATGTGTGCCAAGCGGGTCATGGGATCCCGGGTGACCGGATGGACAGGAGTCCACGGGCGGCGTCTGATGACCGTTTGTAGATGGGTCGCATGGATTACAGGGTGTCGGAAAATCAATGTGAGCTCCTGCCATCATCTTCTCTCACTTCACAGCTTTAAACATGCCCCCTCCCCCTACGGCTCTCATCATTTCCCCCTCTCCACACGGCGACGAATTTCAGCATATATTCCGTAGGTCAGTAGTTCAGCACGCTAGATATGGCGCCATAGACTCTTCATTCCGCCAGCAATTGAGTGGAGTAAAGCTCTCACCCCTCCGCGTAAATCTTCATAAGCATTCTATAAGCAGACGTGCTGCAATGGCATCTTTCTCACCTAGAGCTCCGGGCTTCAAACACGTAATCACTTATGTCCGGAGTGTGTTATGAATCTGCGAACCCCGCCACTTGTCTTATTAACTGTGAAATATCGTGCTAAGCTTATGTTGTTTTGTGCTAAGCCGTGCTATGTGCTAAGCCGATGTTTTTTAACTGAGTTATTGGCACATTTAATCGGTCGAGACCTAATTTACAGACATCAAACAACGCAACGATTGCTTGTGCAACCAATACGCCATACCTTAACGGAAGACTGAACCATTGTTATGAGACTGAACAGTCTGCTTGCGCAATCGTATGCCTGGAACATTTATAACGATCGAATGTTGTCATCGCACGGCCTCCACTAGCACCCGAAGAAATTAATAATAAATATACTCCACCAATACCCCATCCCTCCCTGAAGCCGCCCGGACAGCGCTGGGTTTGGCCTGTGACCGTGACCGCTTCCCGTCACATTGGCGATGCCCAGAGCCGGCGGCTGGCTGGGGCCGGGTCCGCTGGCAGGAACATCAGCGGTCCTTGCCCGGCTGGTCCTGGGGGAGGGGAAGGGGAGGGAGTGTGTTTCACCCATCCATCGGCCCTGACACGCCGCGGCCGCCAATGAGATGGAGAGGTACGGAGTAAGCTGTGTGGTCAGAAAACATCTCGCTCACCACTGAAGGACAGACAACGCTCGCGGGAGGCGTGCCTCCATGTGCAGCGGTGAGGTGGTGTGGCGTGTCTTGGTTTGCTTGTAGAGATATCGCACGGAACGTTCATGCCATTTAACGGGTGTGATCCGTTATGTATTTTTGAACCCCACGCTTACACCATGACGAGCTGCATGAGTTTGACACAATCTTCGTTATTGCCATATGGTGGAGGAAAACTTTACTCCTGGTCGGGACCTCTAGCATGGGTCACGAACGTTGCGTGAGTATGTCCCTGGTCAGCTCGCAACAACCTCTATGTTAATTGGTAGCAAAGACGAAAGTAGCTAATTACGCTGAAAGCTACTGATTTCAGCTACTTTTGAATTCACGGTTTTTTAATTCGCCCAAATTTTCGCTGGTTTCTGCAAAACAATGTAGGTAACTGCATATCGCAAATTGTGTGTAGCTAGCAAAACGATATACAAAGCGTTTTGGTCTTATTATTTCAGAGTAACCTTGCATTTACTTTTACAATCTTTTCGATACTATCAACTACCTGATATTTGTCACATGTCGCCGCAAAATTTTCACCAGTCATCTGCTTCATTCGTTATTCACGTCCTTTCTCTCATACTCCCCTAAAGTCTTTTCTGCGTTGTTCGCCCCTGGCCCTGTCCTCCACGCTGCTTGCCATCCTGTAGTTATCTGCCCTTCCGCTGTTCCCCTGCTGTATCTTGAAGGTCTGCAACGTATTTAGTTTTCGACCTTTGCCCGCCTGTGGTCTTCTGTTCCTGTGCTTTATCCCCATTTAACGTCTTGTTCCTGACTACAGCTTTCGCCCTCCTCCCTCCCATCGTCCTCAGCTCCCGCCCTCTTCCCTCTGCCGTCGTCACTCCCGTGCTCTACCGCCCCCGCCGTCTTCAGCCCCCCCCCCCCCCCGCTCGTCCTCTCCCAGCCGCCGGCCCCGGAGGAGGCGCGGGTGTACGGTTGGGATAGCCCGTCGCTCAGTCGACGCCGGAGACTGGAGCGTGACGGTGGCGCCCTCCGCCGCTCTCGAGGGTCAGCTCTGCCGCCGCCTGCTCCAGGCCTCGACTGATCACGTGCTCCAGGCTACGGCAGATCATCTGCCTGCAGTGACATAGGGGTGCCCGGCCTCTCGAGAAGCGGCCTATTTAGGAGTGCGGTCTAAACGGCCGTCAATAGCAGAGTTGTTGTGAGAGACCGTGGTGTTGGATGCGGACCGAAACAAGCGGTGAGCCAGACACCTCCGGACCACTCAAGCGTTGAGCCGGCAGTGCAGTGTTTACACAGCCTTGCTCTGTGTTTTGGTGGCATAGATTCCGGCCGGAACACATGTCCGAGCGACAAGAACACTTGATGGCCTTCGCAGGCCTGTGATCGACGCGTCAGACTGGACGGAGCCGCTGAGGCCGTCGACATGGCTATGGCACGATGGCTAATGCTGGCCCTGGCGGTGACGTGTTTGACCTGTCCTGACCTGACCCAGGCAGGCCGGAGGAGGAAATGTCGGGTGTTCCCCGACACAAGCCCCCGACCGGTGGTGATTACAGGCAAGATGTTGGCCTTCTACCCCGTCCATGTGCCGGGAGTTCGCTTCCCGGTTAAACGTCTGGGCCTGATGGAGGTCAAACGGGTCATCTCAGGTCAGGTCAGCCGACCCCAGCTTGTGGTGGAAGGGTTCTACCAGATTGGTGTATGCAACTCGCGGCTGAGACTGCGGGAAACACGAATTTTCTTCCTGAAGTCGCCCGATATCCGACCCTTTTCATTGAGGGAGTCAGCTGAGAACATCACGCACAACACGGACTTTCAACTGATATCCACCGCACGCTGGACGCCCATGAACGTCAGAATAGCTCGCACATACACAGGTCAGTCCAAATGTCGGTTCATAATGTGGCTAGGGAGTCGACCGGCTTTGTCTGTTATACCGTGGTTGACGTATTCGTACCTAGCCAGGTTGTTTGCTTCTTACGTTCTCTTGGCCGAAATCCATCGCGGCTT